TTATAATTGAGAAGTTTCTTTAACCGTTTTTTTTAACCCTTCTTTTTTGCTGTGCAAAACAACCTGACTGAATCCTGGGTTAGAGGAAAAGAAAAAAAATCCTAGCTGAATCCTTATAATAAAAAGTACAGCACCTTTTAATAAGATGAAAAGAAAATAAATGTATGTAAAGCAGCCATGAGAATAATAGATAAGCCTTGGCAGAAGAGTAAATAAATATTCTACACCGTCTAATGTTTAAAATGAAAGGATTTATCAAGCTTTTACCTGCTGCTTGTCTGCGCTAAAGTTGAGTTTAAAAATAAACAGTTTGTTTGATGTGGTGGAGGAGTGCTGTACACACAGGAAACAGCTGATACCCCAAAAGCATCTCATTTTTATTATAGAAACAAAATATCAAAGGAAAAACAAGAAGGCCATAGCTATTTCATACACACCAGGCTCCCACTTCGAAAAGCTTGGGATCTTCAAACAAGATCTTGGTTGTTGGTTTCTTGATTGTTAGAAAGGCGAGAATTCAACCTTTTCTGGAGGATTGCCTTTCTTTTTGACTGTATGGTCCCTAACAAAAACTCAAGGGCCTGGGTTCGTCCTCTTACAAAAACCTTATCCCAGTATGCCTTCCTGGTTTTAAGATGATTAAAGACCAGCAAATACCATCTAAGCTGCCTGATGATTTAGAGGTCCTGAGCACCCACAACTCTATTGACAGCATGCATATGCTCAGCATCTCTGAAAATCAAGCCTATAAGCTGTCTGCTTTGCATCTGATTGTTCCATCTCCGTCCCTTCCAGCTGGTAAGTGTTCCTGGCTCCTATGATATTTTTTACTTCAGTTTATTGGGTTTCTTATTACCGTTATTTTATTCCTTTGAGGAAATAAATGAGGAAATGCTACATAACCATATTTTGGGATTTGAGCCCTCAGTGCTGTGACAAAAATGGCTGAAGCTGCTGTAAAGATAATGCATCTGCCCATCTTTGGGAATAGAGTTATTCTAAGGAAGAAAAAATGGTTCTCAAATAGGGCAGTAATGTTGCTTAGTCTATGCTGGAAAAAACTATGGCTGCTTTTGTGAAGGTGTTTATATGGACAATAGACACATGGCTTGATTTTCATTGACCTTCATTCCTCTTGAGGCCAGCTGGAGCTGCAGATCTCAGCCCTTCTGAAAATCAAGCCAAAATAAACAGTAACCTGGCCAAAGGAAGGATGTGAAGGAGCACTGTAGGAGACTTTTGAGAAGCTGTGCTCAATGGAGCAAGGTCAAAAGTTAGTGGTAACTGATAAAAAAATGTACTGGGTGCAGTTTGTAGAAAGATTTGTTGTTAGTACCAGTGAAATCAAATAGTTGGGTAATGTAGCTGTAAGCTGTTCGGGAAATGCAACACGTGTGTCCTGAGTGCATAAACTATCCTAGACTATGACAGAAGTAAACTGTTTCCCTGCCAAGTCAATGAGAGCAATTTAGCTCCTTAAGCTAATTTAAAAACCAAAACCTAAAATCCCCCATGGAAGAGACAGTTTAGGAATAAAGGCACTGGCTAATTAGGTTTAATTGCATTGTCTTGGGACAAGTGATTTATTAGGCCAATCTAGACCCATGATGGGGCTGCAGGGGTATGTTCTTGGATTCGCCATCTGAATTGCAAATATCCAAGAGCATTATTTAGCTTTGGAAGGAGTTTTAGGTTATGAAGGAGAGGCTGGTTAATATGCTTTCCATCTATTCCCATTCTCATCTTTTCAGCTTTGGGCCTCCCATTATGTCTGTCTTCATCAGAATTACTGGTCTAGTTGATGCAGGGAAGGTGTAGACATGACATATCTTGATTTTATTGAGGCTTTTGACACAATTACACATGACATTCTCATAAGCAAACTAGAGAAATGTTGTCTAGATGAAAGTACTATAAGGTGGGTTCAAAACTGGTTGAAAGACCATACTCAAGAGTAGTTATCAGTGGTTTGATGTCTCATTGGTGAGACATATGTAGTGGCATCCCACACAGGTCTGTCCTGAGTCTGGTAGTATTCAATATTTTCATTAATGACTTAGATAAATTTGTAGAAAGTGTGCTTACAAAATTTGCAGATGACACCAAGGTTTGAGGGGTTGCAAGCACTTCAGAGGACAGGATTAAAATTCAAAAGGACCTTGACAAACTGCAGAACTGGTCTGAAATCAACAAGATGAAATTCAAAATAGACAAGTGCAAAGTACTACATTTATGAATGAAAAATCAAATGCATAACTACAAAATGGGGAGTAACTGGCTTGGCAGTAGTGCTTCTGAAAAGGGTCTAGGAGTTTTTGGTGGATCACAAATTGAATATGACTCACCAACTGGATGTAATTGCAAAAAAGCCTAAGTGTCTGGGGTGTATCAACAGGGGTGTCAATGTATAAGACCCAAGAGGTAATTGTCCTGCTCTACTTGGCAGTGGTGAGGCCTCAGCTGGAGTACGGTGTCTGGTTTGGGACGTCCCCTTTCATAGGAAAGATGTGGACTAATTGGAAAGAGTACAGAGAAGAGCAAGTAAATTGAAAAAAGGTTTAGAAAAGCTGACCTATGAGGAAAGGTTAAAAAAACCTTGGCATGTATAGTCTTGAGAAAAGCAATCTGAGGGAGGTCCTGATCAGTCTTCAAATACATTAAGGAATGTTATAAAGGGGACAGTGATCAGTTGTTTTCCAGGTCCAGGGAATGTAGGACAAGCAATGGCTTTATCTGTAGCAAGGGAGATTTAAGTTAGATATTAGGAAAAACTTTCTAACTATGAGGATAGTTAAGCACTGGAATAGATTTCCAAGTGATATTGTGAAATTACCATCATTGGAGGTTTTTAAGAACAGCATACACAAACACCTATCAGGGACAGTCTAGGTATACTTGGTCCTGCTTCATCACAGAAGGCTAGATGAAATGACATCTCAAGATCCCATCCAGCTCTATATTTCTACGACTTATTTAGATTTTAATATCCTTGGGACAAGGAATGTATCTTTCTGTTTATAAAGTGCTGTGTATATTTGTAGTCCTATATAGCCATAAATATATGGCTATATAGGACTACAATAATAATGTAGTCCTATTGTTGCAATAATGTTATCAGAGTTAGGTAAAATTGATTTTTTGTGTGTGCGTGGAATATGCCACTCACATTCTCTTTATTCTTTCCATGTCACCCAACAGTTCATTCCTAGACAATTGTTCACCATTTCAATGCATCCAATCACATTTCCGAAAATTATGGTTTTCCACAAACTTTTGGGGAACTGAAAGTTTTTAGTAGAACCTGTGGTAATGGGGTTCACTCACCACTCTGGCATCTCCTGCTGGCTGTCCTGGGGATTAGCTCAGTTCGCCAGGGTGCTCTCCTCTGGTGGTGGCTCACCGCCATCACTCCTGCTCTAGGATCCACATCAAGGACCGCGGCGTCCTCTTCAGCAACACAGACCTCTGGCCATGCCACACACTGTGCTCCCCTCCTTCCAGGGAACCTGCAGTCCACTGTTCAGCCACTTCCCTTAGTGGCTACTGCAGAGAATTGTCTGGCCACTTCCTCATGGCCCCAACATCCTCTTTGCCCTTGCTTCAGGGCCTCATCCTGCAAACCCCAGCAGCCATCCAGGAGCTGTCTCTCGCTCCCCCAGTCCCTTCTAGCAGCACTGCTCTGTCCAGGGTGCTGGCAGTTCTCTCAGCCCTCTAGGGACACAGTCCTTCCACTCTGGGCAGAGAACTTTCCTTTTCTGCCCTCCCTTTTTGTATGGGCCTGCTTGGCTGCTCCCTTCAGTCCTTCTCTGATTGGCTGACTCCTGTGCAGCCTCCATAGGGCTCTATTAACTGCTTAGAGACCAGTGTGGGGCAGGCGCACCATCACACCTGTGAAAACTTGAGAATCCTATTTCATGTAAATCTGTCAGTGTATGTGTCAATTTTGAAAAGCATGGTCATGAGTTCTATTCCCACCTCTTCCACTAGCTAGCCTTGACATTTCTTTGCACCTTCATACATAACTTTACAATTATTATCTAGTCCATAGATATTATTACCTACATTTTACAAAGGAAAAAATAGGAAAGATGACTTGCTGAGGATCACAAAGTAAATCAGTATCAGAATTAGAGCCCAGGACTTTTGCCTTATGTCCCATGCTGAAATCAACTTATCCAGTGAGCCTCTTAAAGAAATCACCAAACTTCTCTGAGCCTTAGATTTCCTATCTGTACATGTATTGCTTACCCATGTGTGGCTGGAGACATCTCATGTACCATATAATTTTTTGGATTTTATGAATGATGTTTTTAAAATGTTGCCCTCTGCCAACTTTATTCCTTTCAAAAGGTGAAACCTTATGCTGTAAGTGAAAGAGCATCCTATTTAGAGCCATATCCTCTACAAGTTCTCTCATATCCAATGCTGATTCATCAAAATCAAGATGTTTCCAGGAGCCTGTTGGATTTTGAGTAAGTTGTGGTAGGCTGCATGGTTACCTGCTTAGCTGCTCAGTAGACCACCTGCAGACTGACAGGAAGCCAAGAGTTTGGAGGCCCTGACTTCTGAGCTCCCAGACTCCAGATTCTCCTCAGCTTGTCAAACAATTTGATGTGGATCCAGGAGCCTGCAAGCCCTGGCTCCCAAGCCCATAGGATACTGGCTCCATTGGGCTTGCAGCCTCCCAATTCCCCATCAGGCACAATAACAGGTAGCTGGGACTCTGGGAGCTCTGGGTGTGCTGGCTCACAGGCTTCTGGCTCCTTGACAGCCTCATCTCCTAGGACTTCCAGAGTCTGTTGCTTCCAGAGCAGACCACCAGATGACCTGCCTCTGAGCTGGGGAACACAGGGCTCCCAGGATCGAGAGTTGCGTTCTTTTTTGAATTTCCATTTCACAGCACATTCTGAAATTTTGTGGGAGTTGTTCCAAATGGGAACTACACCAAATTTAGAAATATCAAAATCTGACAGAAAAATGAATTACTTTTCTCTGTTCAGCTTGAATCCTGATGGAAACCAGCAAACAGAGCTGTAAACAGGGGAGTTTGAATGGGAGTTCTGTTGGAGGAGAAGGTACCGGGGGAAGGAGACCAAAGCCCTGAGGTAAGTGGGAAAGCGGGATACCGGGAGGAAGCACAGGCAGGAATGTCTGTGAGGGGAGGGCTCCTGCCTCATACTGGGAATGAGGGGCGATCAACAGGTTATCTCAAGTGCTTATATACAAATGCACAAAGCCTTGGAAACAAGCAGGGAGAACTGGAGGTCCTGGTGATGTCAAAGAACTATGACGTGATCGGAATAACAGAGACTTGGTGGGATAACTCACATGACTGGAGTACTGTCATGGATGGTTATAAACTGTTCAGGAAGGACAGACAGGGCAGAAAAGGTGGGGGAGTAGCACTGTATGTAAGGGAGCAGTATGACTGCTCAGAGCTCCGGTACGAAACTGCAGAAAAACCTGAGTGTCTCTGGATTAAGTTTAGAAGTGTGTGCAACAAGAGTGATGTAGTGGTGGGAGTCTGCTATAGACCACCGGACCAGGGGGATGAGGTAGATGAGGCTTTCTTCCGGCAGCTCACGGAAGCTACTGGATCGCATGCCCTGATTCTCATGGGTGACTTTAATTTTCCTGATATCTGCTGGGAGAGCAATACAGCGGTGCATAGACAATCCAGGAAGTTTTTGGAAAGCGTAGGGGACAATTTCCTGGCGCAAGTGCTAGAGGAGCCAACTAGGGGGGCGCTTTTCTTGACCTGCTGCTCACAAACCGGGTAGAATTAGTGGGGGAAGCAAAAGTGGATGGGAATCTGGGAGGCAGTGACCATGAGTTGGTTGAGTTCAGGATCCTGACACAGGGAAGAAAGGTAAGCAGCACGATACGGACCCTGGACTTCAGGAAAGCAGACTTCGACTCCCTCAGGGAACGGATGGCCAGGATCCCCTGGGGGACTAACTTGAAGGGGAAAGGAGTCCAGGAGAGCTGGCTGTATTTCAAGGAATCCCTGTTGAGGTTACAGAGACAAACCATCCCGATGAGTCGAAAGAATAGTAAATATGGCAGGCGACCAGCTTGGCTTAATGGTGAAATCTTAGCGGATCTTAAACATAAAAAAGAAGCTTACAAGAAGTGGAAGGTTGGACATATGACCAGGGAAGAGTATAAAAATATTGCTCGGGCATGTAGGAATGTTATCAGGAGGGCCAAATCGCACCTGGAGCTGCAGCTAGCCAGAGATGTCAAGAGTAACAAGAAGGGTTTCTTCAGGTATGTTGGCAACAAGAAGAAAGCCAAGGAATGTGTGGGCCCCTTACTGAATGAGGGAGGCAAACTAGTGACAGAGGATGTGGAAAAAGCTAATGTACTCAATGCTTTTTTTGCCTCTGTTTTCACTAACGAGGTCAGCTCCCAGACTGCTACGCTGGGCATCACAAAATGGGGAAGAGATGGACAGCCCTCTGTGGAGATAGAGGTGGTTAGGGACTATTTAGAAAAGCTGGACGTGCACAAGTCCATGGGGCCGGACGAGTTGTATCCGAGAGTACTGAAGAAACTGGCGGCTGTGATTGCAGAGCCATTGGCCATTATCTTTGAAAACTCGTGGCGAACCGGGGAAGTCCCGGATGACTGGAAAAAGGCTAATGTAGTGCCAATCTTTAAAAAAGGGAAGAAGGAGGATCCTGGGAACTACAGGCCAGTCAGCCTCACTTCAGTCCCTGGAAAAATCATGGAGCAGGTCCTCAAAGAATCAATCCTGAAGCACTTGCATGAGAGGAAAGTGATCAGGAACAGCCAGCATGGATTCACCAAGGGAAGGTCATGCCTGACTAATCTAATCGCCTTCTATGATGAGATTACTGGTTCTGTGGATGAAGGGAAAGCAGTGGATGTATTGTTTCTTGACTTTAGCAAAGCTTTTGACACGGTCTCCCACAGTATTCTTGTCAGCAAGTTAAGGAAGTATGGGCTGGATGAATGCACTACAAGGTGGGTAGAAAGCTGGCTAGATTGTCGGGCTCAACGGGTAGTGATCAATGGCTCCATGTCTAGTTGGCAGCCGGTATCAAGTGGAGTGCCCCAAGGGTCGGTCCTGGGGCCGGTTTTGTTCAATATCTTCATAAATGATCTGGAGGATGGTGTGGATTGCACTCTCAGCAAATTTGCGGATGATACTAAACTGGGAGGAGTGGTAGATACGCTGGAGGGCAGGGATAGGATACAGAAGGACCTAGACAAATTGGAGGATTGGGCCAAAAGAAATCTGATGAGGTTCAATAAGGATAAGTGCAGGGTCCTGCACTTAGGACGGAAGAACCCAATGCACAGCTACAGACTAGGGACCGAATGGCTAGGCAGCAGTTCTGCAGAAAAGGACCTAGGGGTGACAGTGGACGAGAAGCTGGATATGAGTCAGCAGTGTGCCCTTGTTGCCAAGAAGGCCAATGGCATTTTGGGATGTATAAGTAGGGGCATAGCAAGCAGATCGAGGGACGTGATCGTTCCCCTCTATTCGACATTGGTGAGGCCTCATCTGGAGTACTGTGTCCAGTTTTGGGCCCCACACTTCAAGAAGGATGTGGATAAATTGGAGAGAGTCCAGCGAAGGGCAACAAAAATGATTAGGGTTCTGGAACACATGAGTTATGAAGAGAGGCTGAGGGAGCTGGGATTGTTTAGCCTGCAGAAGAGAAGAATGAGGGGGGATTTGATAGCTGCTTTCAACTACCTGAAAGGGGGTTCCAAAGAGGATGGCTCTAGACTGTTCTCAATGGTAGCAGATGACAGAACGAGGAGTAATGGTCTCAAGTTGCAGTGGGGGAGGTTTAGATTGGATATTAGGAAAAACTTTTTCACTAAGAGGGTGGTGAAACACTGGAATGCGTTACCTAGGGAGGTGGTAGAATCTCCTTCCTTAGAGGTTTTTAAGGTCAGGCTTGACAAAGCCCTGGCTGGGATGATTTAACTGGGAATTGGTCCTGCTTCGAGCAGGGGGTTGGACTAGATGACCTTCTGGGGTCCCTTCCAACCCTTATATTCTATGATTCTATGATTCTATGATCTGTAGGTATGTATATTGGTATTTATAGAGGCTGGTAGGGGCAGTGTGCTGGGAGAGATGCTGAACCCTGATTAGGGGGCGGGGCTTCTCTGACTAGGGGTCCTATAAAGGTAGCCAGCCAGTCAGGCAGGCAGCGGCACAGACAGCTACAGTGGCACAACAGCTACAGCGGCACAGGAGCCAGCAAATAGAGCTGTAAACAGGGGAGTTTGGGTGGGAGTTTGTAAGGGGAGCTTGGGGGGAAGACTAAGAGAGCCAGGCAGAGGAACAGACAGGCTAGTGAAGGGAGTGTGTGGTGGTCTGGCAGTGTTTTGGTGCTCATTGGGGGTTTGTTTTGCTTTGGGTGGTGCTGTTTTGGTTTGGTTTGTGTTTTCCAGACTAACAGGACTTAGGTGAGAAGGCGATGACAGATACAGAGGCAGCAGTGGGAGTGACCCAAGCAGTGGAAGACACAATGAAGATGACTGGATGTAGAAGCTGCGGCATGTACATGATCCAGGAGGGGGTACCTGAAGAGAGTTTCGTCTACATGAAGTGCTGCCTGATAGAGCTGATGGAAGAAAAGATCTGAGGATTGGAGATGCAGGTGGAAACTCTGGTCGAGTTTAGAAGGGGGTTGGAATGGACGATGGAGCAAAGACATGAGGAGGCTCAAGGGAAAAGCTCAGACTTGCAGGTGGAAGCAGGACCAAAGAACTCTGAGGGGATACTGCTGGGTGAGGAAAGTGGACAGTGGAAGCATGTGACAAAGAGACCCAGGCAGAGGAAAAGGCGAGCTAGTGATGGAGAAACAGAGCTCAGGAATAGGTTTGCGGAGTTGGAAAATGAAGAAGGGGCACAGCAGGTGGTCACTGAAGGTGAGAGGGCAAGGAAGAAGAGAAGAGCAGCTAGCCCTATAGGAAGAGGGCAAGAGTCAATGGCTGTAACAACACCAAGGAGGATATGGGATGGGTTTCAGAGGATTGCAGGGGACAATAGGAATCGAGAGGACTTGCAGCCAGAGGGAACAGGGGATATACTGGAGAATCGCACGATCGCCAGGAAAAGCCAGGTCTATGTGACTGGGGACTCATTACTGAGAAGAATAGACAGGCCTGTAACGAGAGCTGATCCAGAGAACAGAAGGGTCTGCTGTCTGCTGGGTGCTAAGATACGGGATGTGGACCTGAGGCTGAAGAGGATCCTAACAGGAGTGGGAAAGTATCCACTGATTTTCCTTCATGTGGGAACAAATGATACAGCTAGATTCTTGCTGGAATGTATCAGGGGAGACTATGCCAGGCTGGGGAAGACGCTCAAGGAAATCAAGGCTCAAGTGATCTTCAGTGGGATTCTGCCTATTCCTAGAGAAGGGCAACAAAGGTGTGACAAGATTATGATGCTCAACAGATGGCTCAGGTAGTGGTGCTATAAGGAGGGCTTTGGGATGTATGGCCACTGGGAAGCATTCATGGACAGAAGACTGTTCTCTCGGGATGGACTTCACCTGAGGAGGGAGGGAAATAGATTTCTAGGATGGAGGATGGCAAAACTGATCAAGAAAGCTTTAAACTAGGAATCTGGGGGAGATGGTTGGGAGATGTCCAGGTAATGTCTATGCCGGATTTTAACATTGAGAGGGAAGAAAACGAAGTAAGAAAGGATATCGCTGTGGGTAGGAGAATGGATATAAGGAGGAAGGGTAGTGTACATACCAGTCTAATAGGTGATACTGGAAATAAAATGTCTGTGCCCAATTGGGTAAAGAATGTGAGCGAGGCCAAACAGCAAAAATTAAGATGTTTGTGCAAGGAGCCTAAGTAACAAAATGGAGGAACTAGAGCTACTGGTGAAGGAAGTGAAACCAGATATTATAGGGATAACAGAAACATGGTGGAATAGTAGTCATGACTGGACTACAGGTATTGAAGGATATGTGCTGTTTAGGAAAGACCAAAATAAAGGCAAAGGCGGTGGAGTAGCATTGTATATCAACGATGAGGTAGACTGTAAGGAAATAAGAAGTGATGGAATGGATAAGACAGAGTCTGTCTGGGCAAAAATCACATTGGGAAAGAAAGCTATTAGAGCCTCCCCTGGGATAGTGCTTGGGGTGTGCTATAAACCGCCAGGATCCGATATGGGTAGAGACCTCTTTAATGTTTTTAATGAGGTAAATACTAATTGGAATTGTGGATCATGGGAGACTTTAACTTCCCAGATATAGACAAATGCTAGTAATAATAATAGGGCTCAGATTTTCCTGGATGCAATAGCTGATGGATACCTTCGCCAAGTTGGATATAGCTGATGGATAACTTCGCTGAACCAACAAGAGGGGATGACATTTTAGATTTGGTTTTGGTGAGTAGTGAGGACCTCATAGAAGAAATGGTTGTAGGGGACAACCTTGGTTCGAGCGATCATGAGCTAATTCAATTCAAACTAAATGGAAGGATAAACAAAAATAGATCTGTGACTAGGGTTTTTGATTTCAAAAGAGCTAACTTTAAAAAATTAAGGAAATTTAGTTAGAGAAGTGGATTGGACTGAAGAACTTGTGGACCTAAAGGCAGAGGAGGCCTGGAATTACTTCAAGTCAAAGTTGCAGAAACTATCAGAAGCCTGCATCCCAAGAAAGGGGAAGAAATCATAGGCAGGTGTTGTAGACCAAGCTCGATGAGCAACCATCTCAGAGAGGTGGTTAAGAAAAAGCAGAAAGCCTACAAGGAGTGTAAAATGGGAAGGATTAGCAAGGAAAGCTACCTTATTGAGGTCAGAACATGTAGGGATAAAGTGAGAAAGGCCAGAAGCCCTGTAGAGCTGGACCTTGCAAAGGGAATTAAAACCAATAATAAAAGGTTCTATAGCCATATAAATAAGAAGAAAACAAAGAAAGAAGAAGTGGGACCGCTAAACACTGAGGATGGAGTGGAGGTTAAGGATAATCTAGGCATGGCCCAATAGCTAAACAAATACTTTGCCTCAGTCTTTAATGAGGCTAATGAGGAGCTTAGGGATAATTGTAGGACGGCAAATGGGAAGGAGGATATGGAGGTAGATATTACCACATCCGAGGTAGAAGCCAAACTCAAACAGCTTAATGGGACTAAATCGGGGGACACAGATAATCTTCATCCAAGAATATTAAAGGAACTGACACATGAAATTGCAAGCTTTTAATGAATCTGTAAACTCAGGGGTTGTACCGTATGACTGGAGAATTGCTAACATAGTTCCTATTTCTAAGAAAGGGAAAAAAAGTGATCTGGGCAACTACAGGCCTGTGAGTTTGACCTCTGCAGTATGCAAGGTCTTGGAAAAAAATGTGAAGGAGAAAGTAGTTAAGGACATTGAGGTCAATGGTAACTGGGACAAAATACAACATTGTTTTACAAAAGGTAGATCATACCAAACCAACCTGATCTCCTTCTTTGAGAAGGTAACAGATTTTTTTAGACAAAGGAAACACAGTGGATCTAATTTACCTCGATTTCAGTCAGGTATTTGATATGGTTCCACATGGGGAATTATTAGCTAAATTGGAAAAGTTGGGTTTCAATATGAAAATTGAAAGCTGGATAAGGAACTCGTTAAACCGGAGACTACAATGGGTCATACTGAAAGGTGAACTGTCAGGCTGGAAGAAGGTTACTAGTGGAGTTCCTCAGGGATCAGTTTGGGGACTAATCATATTTAATCTTTTTATTACTGACCTTGGCACAAAAAGTGGGAATGTGCTAATAAAGTATGCAGATGACACAAAGCTGGGAGGTATTGCCAAAACAGAGAAGGACCGGGATATCATACAGGAAGATCTGGATGACCTTGTAAACTGGAGTAACAGTAATAGAATGAAATTTAATAGTGAAAAGTGTAAGGTCATGCATTTAGGGATTAATAACAAGAATTTTTGTTATAAACTGGGGACGCATCACTTAGAAGTAACAGAGGAGGAGAAGGACCTTGGAGTATTGGTTGATCACAGAATGACTAGGAGCCGCCAATGTGATATGGCTGTGAAAAAAGCTAATGTGGTCTTGGGATGCATCAGGCGAGATATTTCCAGTAGAGATAAGGAGGTGTTCATACTGTTATACAAGGCACTGGTGAGACCTCATCTGGAATATCGTGTGCAGTTCTGGTCTCCCATTTTTAAGAGAGATGAATTCAAACTGGAACAAGTACAGTGAAGGAATACTAGGATGATCCGAGGAATGGAAAGCCTGTCTTATGAAAGGAGACTCAAAGAGCTTGGCTTGTTTAGCCTAACCAAAAGAAGGCTGAGGGGAGATATGATTGCTCTCTATACATATATCAGAGGGATAAATATCACAGAGGGAGAAGAATTATTTAGGCTTAGCACCAATGTGGACACAAGAACAAATGGATATAAAGGGTCATCAGGAAGTTTAGACTTGAAATTAGATGAAGGTTTCTAATCATCAGAGGAGTGAAGTTCTGGAACAGCCTTCCAAGGGAAGCAGTGGGGGCAAAAGACATATCTGACTTCAAGACTAAGCTTGATAAGTTTATGAAAGGGATGATATGATGGGATAGCCTAATTTTGGCAATTAATTGATCTTCAACGATTAGCGGTTGATATGCCCAATGGCCTGTGATGGGATGTTAGATGGGGTGGGATCTGAGTTACTACAGAGAATTCTTTCCTGCGCATCTGGACGGTGAGTCTTGCCCACATGCTCAGGGTTTAGCTGATCGCCATATTTGGGGTTGGGAAGGAATTTTCCTCCAGGGCAGATTAGAAGAGGCCCTGAGGGTTTTTCGCCTTCCTCTGCAGCGTGGGGCACGGGTCATTGCTGGAGGATTTTCTGCACCTTGAAGTATTTAAACCATGATTTGAGGACTTCAATAGCTCAGACATAGGTTAGAGGTTTGTTACAGGAGTAGGTGGGTGAGATTCTGTGCCCTGCATTGTGCAGGAGGTCAGACTAGACGATCATAATGGTCCCTTCTGACCTTAAAGTCTATGATTCTATGAATTGCCAGATGATAAACACACACTTTATTTCAGTTCACCTGACCTATGGAAGAGGGGAGGGATGCAGGTGCTGTTATGTTATCTTTCTGTTTCTCCCCCCAACCCTAGGGGTGATTTGGCTCCTTGTCTATATTACAGTAGCCTTGGGACGGTTTGATTTACACCAGCAGGAAGAGTTCCAGATGAGTTCTTCCAGTGGCTGAGGATTTTCTGGACCCCAGGACCTCTTTTTCTTTGTGTGAAGGGCTGATGTAAAGAGATGCAGGAAGAAAGCCAGTTGCCATGTACAAGCAGAAGCTTTAATCAGTCCTGCAAACTCCAGGAACTATGTTGTATATTCTTGAGTGCCATTTACTGTCTGGTGCCTTATCGATTTATTTATAATCACACAACTCTCATTAGCACCCCTAACATTTTAGAATGTGCTATGGAATGGAAATTCAAAAAGGACAGGAAGGCAGTAGCACAAAGTCTGTTCCAGGAAGCTGTATATCCTCTGTGCTGCTGGAATAGAACAAAGGGAATTTATCATAGGGTACAACTCATCCTTCAGTATTAATTCATAGTCATCACTTTTTATATAGCACACACAATTTATATTGGGTAGTCAAGGCCATACCCATCACAAACACCCAAAGCAAAATTTACCAGCATAAACCATCCACTTATGTTCAGTTTCTCCTGAACTCTCAGTCCAGTCTTCAAAGTTGCTTTCGTTAGGACCTTTAAGATTGTTTGCTGCTTCATATAATTAAAAATAGAGGTGATGACTTCTTAAGTGTTTTTGCTGTGCACAGTGCAATGGAGTCTTAATGCTGACTGAGGCTTTTGGTGCCAGTACCACATTACAAATAATATTCAGTATATATTGCGTTAATCTACCTTGAAAATAAAAAAGCAATTCCTCCACATCACACACAAATGAGACATTATTCAAATCCTGTAGGACAAAGAGGATGTAACAGAACTTCTAAAACTAGAGTATGATGGGATATACAAACTGCACTCTGGACAACAAGGGGTTAAGGAATTGCTCTAAGATCAGCCAGCCCTGCCCCACCACACCTGTAGGAAATGCTCCAACTGGAAGAGGAGTTAAGAGGCAGGGGAGCAGGGAAAAGAGCCAACCTGCAGCTCCAGCAGAGGAGAGCTGAAGGAAAGGCAGAATCTCTCCCCGTGACAACTGCCCAAAGGTCCCTCCCTGAGGGAAGGGAGAGCCTGCTACAGAGACAGCCTGAGAGGGAAGCATTGTCCTCTCCCTCTTATGTGGACTCTGAGTTTTGTTAATTCCCCTTTATTTTGTTTGAACTGCCCCAGCACGAGAAAGCCCTAGGACTAAGCTTGCCCAGGAGGGTGGGCCATACCACAGAAGGAGGCAGTTGCCACCCGATTGAGGAAAAGAGCTACCACGCTATATGCAGCCACCAGAAGGTGCTTTGTGGTGAGCGGAGATACTTCATGCCTTCTAAACCCAAATGGTGACCTGGGGACAATCACAGCCTTAAGCATCCCTCCACGTCCTTGGGTCAGATCCCGGTGGAGTGGGAGGGCCTGGCGCCCCTACCAACAATCCCCTACATGTCATAGGCCTGAGCCCTGACCACTAAGTGACACTCCCCTACCGACCAACTCCTGAGCAAAGACCATCACACAGAGGAATACAGTACTGTGTGTACGTACACACATGCACTCATTCTCATACACCTCATACACCCACTGCAAATGCTAGGCCCTAACCGGAGGAACCCACATTTAGATCAAGTTTATCTTGTTCTAAGTACTTGTGTTAGGTCACTTGAATCAAAATTGGGCACTGGGTACTGGGACTTGTAGTCTCCATGGACTACTCATCCCTAATAAAAATGAGAGCAATTATGGGCCACATTTAAAAACAACAACAAACACCTCTGTATCTTAAGTCACATTTTGCTTATTGTTACAAAGCAACAACAACAACAAAATGAAAGTTCTCTAATATGAGGAGGGATTTTAAAATGACAATGATTTCCATATTGCACATGATCAGTTTCCAAGTAAAAAGATGACTTCTTAGTTTCTGTCCTGCGTTCCTGACTTTTCATGCATCATCACCAGTAATAAAAATTCTGCAACACAAATTTAGGGTCTGTGAAACCTATCCAACCCCACTACTTTTTAAACACCTCTTTTGCAATATATCACTAGCTCCAACCAGTGACCTAGCCCCCCCCCCACAACCCCCTTAATGTGGACTGATTTCTGTTGCAGACAAATCCAATCTGGTCATAATTCATAAATTCTGTCTAATAAGGGTTGCAATCTCATTGAGGGCTTGCATTAATATTACGATGTCTGTATTCAAAAACAATCAAGAGCTACAGGAAGCATAACTCCCTGGATCTTTAATTTTTTATTTTATAGTTCAGTCACATGTATGCATTTATTTAGAATTTCATCTAGATACTGTTCCCTCAAAGATCCATTCAAGAGATTAAGGAGTGTGTGAATAGTTCACTAAATATATCATAATAATCAAAACCATTTGAGTCTTCTTTAAGTCAGAAGTCACAGTTCAGAAATATCTTTAGGTGGGATTGTCGCTTCATGTTTAATTTAATCTTGTTGAAACACCCTAAAAAGATTTACCATATTTCTTTACAAAATATAGCATTATCCAGGACTTTATAGAAAATGCTGAGAACTTTATTAATATCTCTATTATGAGTAATTTGGCTCCCTGTTTGATTTTTAATTTCTGATGTTAGGCAGGAGATTTGATTTCCTTTTAGTAAATGTGCTAACATACTGTTGGCTGTATTCCACCTTTTCATATATCTTATATTTGGCTAGTAGAAGTGATGATATATGAGCACTCTGTGATAATAGTTGCTCATGAGCTGATTTAACAGTTTTTAATTCAACTTGATTAGCCTTGGAGGGGTTGTTTTTTGTAAGATCTTTTCTTAGGATTTAATTTAAGCTCCAGCTCTTTTTGCAGTTTGATCATACCTTTTTTTCAGTCTGGCAACTGAATGAAATTATCATCCCTCATTGTGAATGCCTTAGAGGTTTCCTAAACTGTTCTGGGTGAATTCACCAAGCTCTGATTGGATTCCCAACATAATGGTCATTTCTCTTTCACATGCTCTGATCACAAAAACTTGTTTCCTGTTATAAAAGTGAACTCAGTCTCCGTTTGTTTTGACCTGAAGGGATAATATGAATGGACATGTTCTGAGATTGGAATATTCTCAGTTGTACTGAGTCTAAAAGTCTAACAAGGAAAAAAATCAATCCGAGAGGAGGACATATGCACTCTTTATCTGCAAATACCTATAAGCTGTAAATCAACTCACACTTGGTTGACCAAACAGTCTAGGTTTTTCACCTGTGGAGTGAAGTTGCCAGCAGATCGAGGGACGTGATCATTCCCCTCTATTCAACATTGGTGAGGCTTCATCTGGAGTACTGTGTCCAGTTTTGGGCCCCACACTACAAGAAGGATGTGGAGAAATTGGAGAGGGTCCAGCGAAGGGCAACAAAAATGATTAGGGGAATGGAACACATGAGTTATGAGGAGAGGCTGAGGGAACTGGGATTGTTTAGTCTGCGGAAGAGAAGAATGAGGGGGGGATTTGATAGCTGCTTTTAACTACCTGAAAGGTGGATCCAAAGAGGATGGATCTAGACTATTCTCAGTGATAGCAGATGACAGGACAAGGAGTAATGGTCTCAAGTTGCAGTGGGGGAGGTTTAGGTTGGATATTAGGAAAAACTTTTTCACTAGGAGGGTGGTGAAACACTGGAATGCGTTACCTAGGGAGGTGGTGGAATCTCCTTCCTTAGAAGTTTTTAAGGTCAGGCTTGACAAAACCCTGGCTGGGATGATTTAGTTGGGATTGGTCCTGCTCTGGGTAGGGGGTTGGACTAGATGGCCTCCAGAGATCCCTTCCAACTCTGTTATTCTATGATTCTATGATGCTATTCCCTAACCTTGTAACCTGATACATTAAAATTTCCACCTGTGACACAAGTGAGACCTGAATTGGTCAACTTTTGGGGAAAGGAGGATGATTACTCAAATCTAGGTCATTTTATAATATCACCAACCAAGACAGCAGAGTTAAGCTTGTGTCAGTACTTGGATTATAAAACTGTTTTTAGAGATTTAGATTTGTGCCATTAAAATTTGCATCTGGGGAGAAAGTCAGTTTGGCCATTTTTAAACGGGACATACGGAAATTAAGAAAATAAAATAAAATTACTTATTTTAGCTGTTGCTGAAAATGCAAACAATTCAACAGAAGAGACATCACACTATTAGCCTATGGTATAATCTTATTGTTTTGGTCTTTTGACAAAGTAAAGCTTCAGAGATATTAAATATGAAAAGTCACTATTTTTATAGTAACACCTTTCATAAAGGGTTTTGATTTTTTTATTGAGTTCTAAGAGAGCAATCCATTAATAATGTACAGCAATATTAATGAGTCATATACACTTAATAATTACAAAATATTTGTAGCAAGTTGAAAAGGGCAAAGAAAGTATACCAGGATATGTGAAAGACCAAAACTACAGTAATATGAGACTAATAATTACCTGTGGTTCCAAAGCTTTTCAAACTCCACAAACATCCTACTTATAATTAAGTATTGATCCAGTGTACAAGAGGACTATGAAATGGTTGAAACTTGACACATGTGATGGGGGGACACTGTGAGATTGCTCAATCAGGGCAAACTACAAAGAATGGGGCAGACAAAGCCCGCAAATGGTGGTTATTCTAATACTTAGATTCACAAGCCAGCAACAAAACAGCTTCTACAACACCTTACTGGTTACCCAGAAGCCAAAACACAGTTCCTTTAAAGCAACCCAGCCTTGAGCTCTCACCCAGACAGCCAAGTCAAATACGATGAGGATTACTGAAAATCTCGTTTATCATATAAAAGTTCTACCAATCCCAAAGGGTTGGACACATTACCCACCAGGTTAATGAATATTTAAAATCTTACCCAAATATACACTTACAACCAATTCTTATTAACTAAACTAAAATTTGTTTAAAAAGAAAAGAGAGTGAGTATCGGTTAAAAGATTACCATACGTACAGCTATGAATAGAGTTCTTAGGTCAGTTTCATAGTAGAAATGATGAGCTTTATATAGGTAAACACACAAAAAACACAACCATTGTCTACTAATATGTCTCTAACGGTTGAGTCTGTGTCAATTAGCCTGCTAGTTGTATAACCCTTTCTGGCCCTGTGTCACAATGTGGGGTAAAGGATATGTACTGTTCCAATAAGTGAATCGCTGGACAGAGAGAAACAAATAGGGTTTTAAACATAGCTGCTGGGATTCTTGGCTGGGATTTTCCAAGGAGCCAAAGTGAGTTAGGTGCCTGAATGTTATTGGAATTCAATGAGAGCCAAACCCTATGCAAATCCTGGCTAACCATATATATTACAGAGCCATAGGTAGTTACTCCATACTTAAGGTTACAATCAGATTTGCACCTGCAGAAGGAATAAAACCTCTGAATTTTGCACTTAATTTGTAAATTATTTAGCAATAGTGAAACAGCTTCAACAGGAGAGACTGAGAAGCCCACCTCAGAGTATCCCATAGCCCAGTAATTAGAGCACTCACCTGAGAGATGATGGTAAAGCCTACTTCAAATCGCTTCTCCCCATCAGGTGGAAGAAGGACTTGAACTGGGGATCTCCCAAAGCCCAGATGAGTTCTTTAACCACTGAGCTAAAAGTTATGAGGGAAATTAACTGCTCCTCGCCCCCCGCCCAACTGTTTTTTGTGATCTCACATGCAGGGCCTGATCCGGTAGGCATGCTTAGAAGGTCCCTTCCTGATTGAGCCCTGCATGCACCTTAGATGGCTAAAGACCTATCTTCCCCTGTTTTGTGAATTGTGCTGGGGCTTCAGCAGTAGATAATGCCTGGATGCCCAGAGAGAGGCAGCAGTGTGCATGCCCAGAGCAGAAACTTAGATGTCTAGAGATCTTTTACTTCAAAAACATAGTCACTGAGTGAGTTTAGGTGCCTAGAGGGTTTTGCAAGAGTTTTGTGCATCACAGTAGTGCTAAAACAGGGACCTAGGTGCCTGAAACATGGACTTGGTGTCTAAATCTTGTGCATCCAAGCCTAAATGACTTGCCCAAGGCTACACAGGAAGTCTGTGACAGAGAAGGGAATGGAACCTAGTTTTCCCAAGTCCCATGCATGGGCCCCCA